GCGAGAGAGAGAGAGAGAGAGAGAGAGAGAGAGAGAGAGAGAGAGCGAGATGCAGAGCGTGTGCCGAGCAGGCGACGGGAGGAACAGTATTAAGAACTGCTACTTTTGAACATTGATTTTGAAACTTGTGAATCCATTCGAATCGTTAGAAGACAGAATTGCGATTCATATATGAACATATTTTTACGTGCACCTCTAGTTTTCTCTTCCTCTTCTCTAAAGCAGTGCAGAATGGCCCCGTCCCCTTTGCCGCGTGTTCCTGGGGGCGGGGTTTATCTGGGTTTGCGATGTCACGGACTCTGGAATTAATTTGTTGTAGTCCCTACCAGCCGTTTTTGTAGGCATTAATCTGTCAGAATTTTAAAAGACGATATCTCCTTTTGCATTGAACTTTCAGCTTCATAACTTTGCAGATATTGTTTATGCTCAAACAGCAACATTACACACTAAAGCTAAAAAAAGGGAAATCGCAATCAACCACCCCTTCAATACTGAAAAAGTTGCTTTTACATAATCTGTTTTGTTAAAAGCGCTATATAGATAAAGGTGACTTGACTCGAATAGACTAGAGTCATCTGCTAGGTGAGAAGCCTGATCACCTTTCTTCAGTAATCCACATGATTTTAGGAACCATTCATGCCTATAGCACAAACGATGCAGGACAAGTTAATGCAATATTTGGAGTATGGAGTTTGTTCAAATCACAAATCTTCATTCTGAGCAATAATAGTCACACTTGTCCTAGCAAACATCACTAACAAAATATAAAACTAGGATATATTAAATGGCAAGCATGCCAAAAGACGTATTTGGCCATGCAAAATAAAGCAATTTTATACAATTAAGTTGCTCTAATATTTTTCAGGGTGCTTATGCATAAATCATGCAATCATGCTGAATGCATATTTAGTCTGTGAGATGAGTCAATCAATCTCTGTGGTGCATCAGAGGCAGTGATAGCCAGGCACATGAGCCCAACACATTCTGCTGATTGCAGTGCACAACTTCCTGCAAAGTGAGTTTTAAAAAAAAAAAGAGCCAAAATTAATAATTAAAAGCTTTCCCACTGATGTCAGGAAAAAGCGTGTTTCTCATTCACACCATGAGCAATTATTTAGACAATTTGGCATCGCGAGAGGGAATTATTTGCTAAAGGCTCTAATTTGAGACATTGAGAGAAAGTTTTAAAAAAATTAAAAAAGGATCGACCGGCGGCATCATTTTGCAGTCCCACACAGAATGGAGCTGATGATGTTAGTTTTTAGCACCATCTGCTGTGAATTGCGACATGTCTAGAGAACACGGGGGGAGAGAGGAAACAGTCAATTGGATTACCCAGTGAGTAATTGAGCTACGCAGCTGCTGAACATGAAAAGCAAACTGCCAGTGTATGTGGGTGGATGAAAATCACAGAAGTTCAGTGGTTGATACAGGCCACTTTCACTTCCAAACTGCGACACCAGCAACCATGAAAAGTTTCCAAAACTCAAATCATTCAGTTTGGTTTACTTTGGGGAAACAGCCGTTTGAAATGACTTCATTAAAAAGTCAGTTTGATCCAAAAACTCAAAAAAAGAGAGATTTTGCAGTGTGTTCACGCAGCTCTTTTCCCTGATCACGGGCTGTCAAGCCCATCAGAAAAAAACTAGTCCATATCATTTGTGTGGTACATTCTCAGTTGCTCAAAGCCAAATAATAGCCTTTTCCAAGGAAAAGACAAAAATGTAAGTCCATATTGACTGTTTCTCAGTCCTGCCCTAGGCATTCATTGCAAGTCAAATCATTACAGATTCATGATTTATTATAAATTGAATCGTGAATGCTGAATTCAGAAATCACTTGGGTGCATCAGGCAGGCAATAATATACAGTAATAGTAAGTAAATTAATGAAAATGAGTGAAGCAGCCGGCTAAAACTTTCACTAAATCACCAGAATTTCTCCCAGTGCTCTCGATGGCATGGTGACCTGCCTAATATTGTGGATCAAAGAGTCTGTCTTGTATACATATATGTTTGTGAAAGAAACATCCATTTTGTGATTGACATTAAAAGGAATACAAAATGAAATGTACCAAAACAATTCTTGACAGAAAATATGCATTTTGCAGCACAGACAGATCCTTTTCATCCATGAAATTAGGTGCGTGTTAAAAGATGAGCTTACAATTACAAGGAAAAGTGGGGGGAAAAACACCTCAGAACTGTAAGATATTAATTTAAAATTACAAGATACAAACTCTGAATCGCAAGAAAATAAGATTTTATTTTGAGATTTTAAAAAAATCTATTTTTTAATTTTATTCTTTTTTTATTATTATTATTATTTCTGTGGAGTACATTTTGTTTAATCTGTCGCCCACAAAAAGCTATTAGTATGACTTCAGAGGACTTGGACTGTAGTACATGAGACATAGGAGTTACTTCAATGGTGTTTTTGTCCTTTCAGGAGCTTGACGGCTTCTGGGAACTCTATGCTTCTGCTGTATGGAAAAGAGCAGCGAGAACATTCTGGTAAATTACTCGCACTCCACAAAGGTAAGAAAAATCATGCCGGTTTGGGTAAATGAAACTTTGCACTATTACTTTAATAGTTGGCTGACTTAGACAGGCTGTCATATGCCACTGATGTGAGAAAGACACTGATGAAGAGTCATGCTATGTTGAAGAACTTCTATTGCATGACCTTTCAGTCATTAACATCATTAACACATGCATTTTCTCATTCGAAAGGTGGATCTTTCCTAATTGGCAGCCTTTACCTCATTAAAATCTGTGATTTTATATGCCGTTTCTTCCTGAACATTCCCTCCAGGAACCCTAAAGTCTGACTATCTATATCATGGCACCATTTTACTTTGTCTGAAAAGTAAACAAGCATCAAACTTGAAGGAAACCGTTTTTAAGAAATGTATTATCGGCTCCACTGCATGAGCTTGTCACATTTAATTAGCAGTAATACTTATTTTTAGAAACTACAGTGATAGAGTTGAGGACCGCATTAATCTGAGTCATCATGGCTTCAAGACCAAGAGCCGCTCGTTAGTTGATTATACCTGATCATAAAGCTTCCCCACGAGTTTGAGATGCTTCTCCCCCCCCTCAGAGAAGACCACACCGTTCCTCTGCTGGGCCATCAGGAGACACAGCGGTAATGCCAGCTCGTGGTCCAGAAGAGCATCCTTCAGACGCTGAGACGACTTCTTAGTGTTCCTGATCTGTCCAAAGTAGCCACCCTGTACACACAAACAACAAGAAATCAACAAAAACACAAACGCAATGTTCTCGTAGCTGCCATGATCAAGTCAAAAGTCACAACCAGGTCAATATAAAACTGCACAGACTGAACTCTGCAGTCTCTTGTGTTCGAAGTGAAGTAACTTCTGAATTGATTCATTATGAACACCTACTGTCCCCCATGTGGTCTCATTTGAATTGCCGTCTTTAATTGTTTTCAAGTAAGCACTGTTAAAGGAGACATATTATGCCCCTTTTTACAATATGTAATATAAGTCTCTGGTGTCCTCAGAATGTGTCTGAAGTTTGCTTAAAATACTCCACAGATCATCTATTATATCATTTTGAAAATGCCTATTTTGAGTGGAAGCAGAAACACGCTGTTCTTCGGGCCTGTCTCTTTGAATGCAAATGAGCTGCTGCTCCCCACCCCCTTTTCCAGAATAGAGCTGCCCGATTACAGCTTGGACCTGCTAAAAACATCTGTTTTGGTTCTGATTATCATGTTTATCACACTGAAATCATGCGGTTTAAACCATATGAGTTTAAACTTCTGATATACGGTTTTCTGAGTTCACACATCCGAAGCACACGGACAGAAAGCGGCTGTCACGGCACGCGAGTACTAGACTAGTTCTTATTCACACACAAGTTTACAAAAACAGTCGGTTATGTCTGTGAAGGTAAACTGCTGGGAAATAAATTGCATGTTTATTTTAGATCTAAATAGTGTTCTGTGCTCGTCTGTGCAGACAAAGACGGAACAGTTAGCATGTTTTGCTCAAACTTTCGCCATGGCATTAGAGCTGCTACACCGTTGTCGCTTGCGAAATCAAATGACAGTGCCGTGAGTGGAAACTTACAGATTAAGGACCGGTAATATTCTAATGAGACCCCTTTGCCACGTCACCAAGGGAGCGAAAACAGACGTGCTCGTTTTCTCAGACGCTCGCAGAAAAAGGCTTTCCAAAACAAAGTTACCGAGTTAATCTTTTTCATGCTTCCTTGGTTGGTAGATGCACTGGGGATCTGATTGTAGCACTTAAAACCTGGAAAAGTCAGATTTTCATGATATGTCACCTTTAAGGCAAACACCATCTGCAATGCATAAACTTGGTACATGTTTGAGCAGCTAAGTAGTGCTGTTTTGCAGACTAACAGGGTAACACATGAACTCTAGCTATATCTCATAACAGGAGCCTTGATTTCCACACAAGCACACTTCTAGCGTTCGACACCTGAAACATCGCTGCAGCCCTAATATTTCGCAATAACATGCATACATTCATAAACATGGCTTTAGCTTTTTGCTGAATGATGACTATGACTACATGTGTGGCGTACCTCCGCTTTGAGCTGTTCTCCGCCTGTCATGGCCTCCAGCTGCTCCACAGTCATTTCATCTGTGATCTCAATTCCGGCCATCTTCTGCACCACCTCCTTCAGGATCAGCAGGTCAAAACTGGCACAACATAAGACATATGAATGATTAAAGAGCTAGATAAAAACCAAAGCTGCTCTTGGGGATTTCTGCATGCTTGATGACACTGGATAAAGGAAACTAAATAAAGAGCTGTGGTTCCTAGAGAACATCCTTAAATATGGACTGGTGGATCAAGCTCTAGTTTGAATGCACTGGATTCCCAATTTCAATTATATTTTAGTTGGTAAAGCACAACGCTATTAGTATACCCTTTTCAAACCTGCAACCCATTTTTGGGTCACAAGCCACCAGTTGTGAATCACAGCCAAAATTAAGACTACTTTGCTATGCTAATGGCAAACTAGAACATCTCAGATTGATTGTTTTTACATTCAGAGAAAATTCAGCTACTTAAGAAATCACCCCTCACTGAAAACATCATCGTCAGTCAAATCCATGATCTAACATGCATTAGGCCCATTCACATGTATGAAGCTCAGTCCAGATTTCAGAGTAAGTGCTAGTCAATTCTCTGGTCTGTCAGCGAGGGCTTTAACTGCCTGCCTACACACGTCTCTCTGGAGTGTTGAAGGATAACCCACACCTTATTAACGCTGCTGCTTACACATAAGCAGAACAGCCTCACATACAGCTGTGCAGGGAAATCTCAGACAAGCACTGGGACCAACTGCTTTAGTCCAAAGAAATGCATCATTTTAATTGTTAATTGCTGCAGAGTAAATATATTGGGCATTTGGACTAGAGTGAACCAGTGTTGCAAACACAGCACATTTTAACACTGCTGTATAAAATGTCCTGTATATAAAAAGTCCTAACATTGAATATAATCACCATTCATCAAGAAAATCACAAATTAATCTGTGCAGATACTGAACACTTGGAATGAAGGGGTTAAATGTTGACTTAACATTCATAAAATTGCAAAAGTATAAAAAAAAAACTAGTCATGATTGCCTTCTTGTACTTCAAGGATATATATACTGTATGTTTTGAAAAACAGCAGTATAAAAATTCATTTTCAAACTAATTTGGGTTTGAAAATGCCACTTTTCTGCTAGAGAACTGGCCATATTCCAGAGGTCCTCTACACAAATCGACTACAGAAAATTCAACCTAGAATTAAAAAAAGCAATCAAATAAAAAGATGATAATAATGTCAAAAGAATGCTTTGCAATATTTATATTTTTTTGTAAACAATCTTTTAAATAAAGATTTTCTTGTAGGTCCGCATGAATATATAGCAACACCGAGTGCAAAACTATTTCAATAGCCAGTAGAATGGGCAGTAGAGATGCGTAATACAATAAAAATATAATAATAATGTTTTTCAGCAACATATGAGGTTATGAAAAAACCCCAGGAATTTTAACCTGTTGACCTGAGCACTAGCACTATTTGAAAATAATTCTTCCTTCTAATTTAGTGATTCTGTGAGGAAGTACATCTGCATAGTGTAAAGAATTGAAAAGCTGAAAAAATGATTTATTTTCTGATGGTCTGAACCATTTTTTTGGGGGGGGGGGGGGGGGGTTACACTTCAGAATATTCTATGCAATAAACTTATAACAAACACCTATTTCAAAAACCTTAAAGTGAAAAGAAATAAAATAAAATCACTTGTTTCATTCACAACTTTACCTAAAAAAATTACGATTTTTATTGTGGCAACAGTTAAAAAAAATAATAAATTTAAAAAAAGATACAAAATAAGAAATATATAGCTGCAGTCATATGTTTACATACAGCTTGCAAAATCTGCAAAATGTTTAAATTAACAAAATAACAGGGTATTGCCCCGAGTAATCCATTTCACTCAACAGAAGTTTGAATATAGTCCACAAGACAAAACAATAGCTGAATGTATTTAAAAAAAAGGACCCTGTTCAAAAGTTAATATATGCCAGATACTGTGATTTTGTATAGTAACATGACCAGTTGTAATGAAGCGTGGGCTAAAAACACCACAGTAGGCGCGTTTCCATTACAGATTTGCGCATTTTCTGAATGTCGATAAAAAAGCATTGCGAAATGACGGCGTTTCCATTAACCAATGTTATGCGGCTAAAACGTAATCTTTTGCCTCTCGCGATAAGTCATGGCAATGGATTTTGGTGGGATTTTGACGGATTTTGGCTATATTTATTCAAAGGAGGCTTATGCATGTATCTTTACAGAAGCAGCAAAGAGAGTATTCAGAAACGTGCGTGGCGCGGCTGGAATAAACCATAGACTGTATAAAACCATTAACACAAGCACTGAGTGGCCGTAATCAGCTTCAGTGGCCGTATCAGAGCCACACTGCACCGCAGGCGTGTGCAATGTAAATTTTCTAAGTATTAATAGTAGGGAAAGCCCCTTATACTGGAGCGCGGCCACTTATGAAGTGTTTCTTGGAGGTTATAGTACATTGAAGAATGATCATAATATGACTTTTTACATACGCCATGTGACCTGTAAATGCGAAAAAGCCGTTTCCATTGCAGTTTTGCGAATTATTCCTTTTTCGCATTGCCTGAAAAACCACCTCATGCGAGCGTAAAAACTTGTTTGCGATATATTGCCGTTTTTGACGCGTTTCCATTTTCAATTCGCAATTTCAATTTGCGCAATTTGAAGGGTAATGGAAACGCACCTAGTGACACTTTAAAAAGCAGGTCAGGACTCAAGAACAGCAAACATGCAAGCGTACCTCTTGCCTGCTTTCAGCTGGTTGGTCACATACTGCAGAAGACCAGCTAACTCGATGGGATATTTCCTGAAAACCGCTCCGCAAAGACTAGCGAGACCTAGGGAAAGAAAATATTATCATAAGAATGAGCATTCGAATCTGAATGAGGGCGAGTCAAGAATGTCACGCATTTGTGCTCCAAATTGGTTTCCGGACACTCTTCAGCAGCAGGGTCAAACCATTTCAAGAAATGACATTTAACGTCCATTAAGAATGTCAGACGGAAGTTCAATTTAATCGGCATCTCGACACACCGAAGAGGAGTTTTAGAGGGAACGCGGCACTCACTCTGCAGCCATGATGAAATGGTGGTGTCGTCGTGTTTCATCTTCTCTTTCTCTGGGTTGGCTAAAGCTTCAATAATGCAATCTGCCCACACGGTCAAGGGCTCAAACACACCACGTCTCGCTCTTTAAAGATAACACTCCTGTTGTAAGCGGCATACACTGTTCAGACTATTACTCATACAGTCAGACATTGTTTTGGCATGTTCAAAAGAAAATTAACAGTATTTTCCTCTGCAGAATTTTTTTTCCCTCATTTTAAACGCACAAAGCTGTCAGCTTCGGTGATGATGAAGTTAAGGTGAGCGATTACATGCTATTTTAATCACGCACACATTACGGGAGTTTGGAGGAGATCAGCAAGTTCCTGGGAGAGCTGTTATTAGCGGAGGGGGAAGATTATTATACATCACAGTGAACAGGTTAACTAGTCATTGTGTTTATAATCACACTCCTGCAAACTACTCGAACTCAAACTTTCCAAAGTTCGATTTTAAATGGTGGTGAGTGTTGGTAGTGACGCTCAAGTCATGTGACTGTGGTGTAGTTCGTTTTAGCTATTTACATCTGGTGACTGGATTTAGATTGCAATAATCTAAAAGCCAAAATAAAAATAGTTTTTTTGTCAAGGGAACCAATCTACAAACATACATAATCACTGCATCAATCAATATTAGTCGATGCATAATTATATTTCCCTGGTCATGTAGAATACACTGCACAATTAGCCCAGGGACATTGATTCTAGGAAACGGAATCAATTTTGATTTCATGTTGAACTGCGGCGAGTGTTTTTTTCAGAGTTCAGAGGCAGCAGCATCAGTCTGAGGCGCTCATAAAATGAGGAAAGGCATCAAAAAAACACAGTCCTCAGCGACTGAATAACACAGCCTTCATCAGAGCTCATCTCAGTCTTTTATTTCACCACTGAATCTTCAGAATTTTTTCAGAAATGCTAATGAGCTCAAAGCCTTGCCGACGTCAGCCACTTCCAAGTCTTTTCTTGTCGGTGCACGAGAGCAAAACTCGTGGAGTCTCTCATCGCCGAAGATGTGCGCAGCATGAACGGTGACAACAGAACGAGACTCTGCACCACTTCTTCAGAACGAACCCAGCAGAAAGCAGCATCCTGATGAAAACTTTCTGGCACACGTGAAGATCTGCCAGCCCAGGCATGAATTCCTTACATTCGATGGAGATGAATGCGATTACCGCTAGCCTGCTGACTAACACAGCCTAAATTTAGCCTCGTGTTCATGCTCTCATTCTGATGTTGGGCATTAGGCCACTGGTCTGAGCTTTTTAATCTTGGGAACAATGGAAATTGATGGCACACTGCAGATTATAAAGTAGCCCTGTAAAAGCATGTCATGAGTCTAGCGGACCATTATAAGCAATAAAATACTCACATAATCAAAGAGAATGGTGGGGTTACTGTGGCTTAACTTTCCGATCTGCCTTCCTGAGGGCTTCACGTTCTCCTTAGTCAGTCGCCTGAGGGGAAAAACAGCCACAGAGAAGGTGAAAACCAGAAAAAATGGTACAGACACACCAAAAAGGGACCACCATAGACTAAAACAGGCCTGTTAAATGGCTATACTAACGAATCCGCAGACATTTGGCTGAGAATAGGTAAAAGCAATATCTCTACAGCAGGGGTCTCCAACCCTGCTCCTGGAGAGCTGCCGTCCTACAGCTCCAATCCCGTGCAAACACACCTGAGCCAGCTGATCAAGGCGTTCAGGGTTACTTGATGATTACAGGCAGATGTGCTGGAGCAGGACTGGAACTGAAGTGTGCAGGCCGGTTAGTAGGCCTCCAGAAGCAGGGCTGGAGATCCCCGCTCTAAAATACAAATTTCTTTGAAACTTCAAGCCATTATTATTAGGGCTGGGTTTTGACACAAATTTCACAATTCGATTCTCATTCACAAGCTTGCGATTCGATTCGATTCCCAATTCGATTCGATTTCGATAATTTTGGATATATATCAGGTACAGTACTTGCCAAATTTTCTCAAGGGAAAAACAAAAATCTCTCAACAACTACTGTAAAATATACACGAGTCATTTGGTACTACATTACTATAATATTGAAGGTTAAAATTTGACTGATTGTAAGCTATACAACGGCTACAATTTCACTTAATGACGTTAAAATTACAAAATAAATTGTTTAAAATAAAGTTACAATTACATAATATTTCAACTTCAATTAGTTTTTTTTATATAAACATTTAAATGGTGGCTGTCATAAAAACTTGATGGATTTAAATCATAAATTAAACATTGAAGAACAGTAAAAATTATAATGAGTATGTTATATGGTGCATATATTTAGCAAAATGCTCCTCTCTACAGTTTATTTTTCTATCTGACTAATGAGTTCATGGTCACCGAATGTTTTTCTGATGTAAATGTGACATTACGTGACATTGTTTACAAGCCGTTATATTGACGTTTTTGCGCAACTGAAACACTGACAGAGATTACATGAGACAGGATACGGATTGTAAAGTTGTACTCTTTCTTTTAACTTACCTTCGGATGTTTAGTCATGTTTATTTTGTGCTGAAACTGGTATTAATGTGGAGGAGATGATCAGTTCACGTGCACCTCGCGCTGCCGCGTCTGTTGAACTGAGGCACTACAGCGATCAGTCACTCCACATTAAACAGCGCCAAAACAGCATTTATTGTTTGAATATTGCAATACAACGGACAGAATTTGAAATCTGAGACTTTGTTTCATAATAAAAGCACAATGCTTATTGCAATTTATTGGATGGGAAGTGTCCTTCAACGTTCCGTCCACTAACTGAAAACAGGCTAGACTAATCGATTCTTGGGATTTAAGAATCGCTATCGTTCCGTAAAAATGAGAATCGATTAATATCGAGATATCGATATTTTTTACCCAGCCCTAATTATTAGTAATGGGTACTGAATGAAGCTTTGAAATCTTAATTTCTTGTTTCAAATCAGGCCAAGTCATGTGATTTTAGCAAATGAGACTGTGTTATGTTATACGGTTTCAAACTTAGGTTTTCAAACGGTTCACTGCTAGGTGCCGCTGATCTGGTAAACCCATGAAAGGGTGCATAACGGTTTTAACTAATCTCAGGTCTGAGAGGTAATACAAAAATATGAATGATATTTATTTGTTTCCAACTTGCCTAGTTTGACAAGACCTGTCTAAAGGCCAGCTCACCCCAGCAGGTATACTCATCTACCAGTCAACATTCACAGCCTTGTTGTGTTAGAACTACTGCTGTCAAATGATTAATCTCATCCAAAAAAAAGTTTGCTTACATAATATGTGTAATGTGTATTTTTAATATGTATATATAAACTAGTGGTGTCAAAATTAGCTCGCTAACACAGGCGATGAATTTTTTCAGTTTAACGCGTTAAATATTTCACGCAATTAATGCAGGGGCGGTGCTAGGGTTGGCCACCCCACTCACAACTGCTGCTTCTGTCACTTTCTCTTGACAAGTGCATTTATTCAGTCGCAGAATGACCGAACGGGAGACGTTTCAGATGCGCGCTCCACTTCACTTCAGCACCAGGCGCGAGTCAAGAAACACAGTGAACACAGTGAACACAAGAAACGGTAATGTGCTCGCAGCGCGTGCTCTTCAATTGCACACACACAAAGGCGCCGACACGCGCTGTAGCCTGTATCTTTTCATATCAAAGCGCGAAATAAACTACGTGCATGCAATGCCGTGGTCAGTTAAGTCATGAAGTTACCAAAAAAGGCGATTAAAGCTGCCTTAAAACTGTGCAAGCATGTAATATATTTTATATGAGTCACATTTAAGAACATGTCTCTGAAATGGTTTTCAAAACTGTCCTGGAGCAGCCCAGCACCATCTCATCTAACACACCCGATTTAACTCGTCAGCTCATTAATAGAGACTTTAAGACCTGAAGTGGGTCAGAAAAGGTAAGAGTTGAGAGAAAGTGTCAGATCCGCGTCACGTTCATCAGCGGAAGCTCTTAAAGAAATAACAGCCAAAATAACCTAATAACCAGCTGCTGTGATGTCCATTAATCAAAGGACAAAGAGAAAAAAAGAGGAAAAAAGAACTTTTATAGCTTTAAGGATTCATCTATATTTTAATTTAATTAGAATAAATTTCTGTATATTTCTGCTGAAGGGCACAGGTAAATATGACATTATAATGGCTTTATGTGAAGGTTATTTTAGGTTAACTTAAATTAGAAGTTATTTTTTTAAAGTCTAATAAATGTTAAAATTGATAGCTCTCAATTATACTGTAATGTTGAATGCCTATAGTCAATGGTTAAATATTTGTTGGGGGGGGGTAAATAAAGATGCCATTAAACAAATATTAAAAAATATACTGTCTTTATGTTGTTTGTACATTAATTTGAAGATTGAATGTTAAATTGCATTATAAAAGTATATTTAAAAACATTAATGTTAGGTGGGATTAATCGCGATTAATTTCAGAAAAATGTGCGATTAGTTAGTTCTTATTTTTTTAATCGATTGACAGCACTAATATAAACACACATGCATGTATATATTTAAGAATAAATATGTTTTATTTACATCTAAAATATTATGTGTGTATATATATATATATATATATATATATATATATATATATATATATACACACACACACACACACACACACACACACACACACACACATACAGTATATACATGTAAATCTTTTAAAAACATTTACATGTATGTTTGTGTATTTATATTCATAATAAAGATACACAGTACACATTTTGTAAACAAAAACTTTTATTTTGGATGCGATTAATCCCGATGAATCATTTGACAGCACTAGTTTAAAATAAACTCAAGTGACGTTGAAGTCACATGACCATGGCGCAGTTCATTTAAAGTCTACATTTAGCATTAGATAATTAAGCGACAGCGAATAGCAGAGGCAGGTGTCACCATCCTGTGATGATTTGAGCACTTTGAAATGGTTTCAATTGAAAAGCTTTTTTTTTTCTCCCATCAATGAGCATTACAATGACAAGACCGTTCTAGATATCAGCAATATTAAATGCTAGTTATTTTAGCTGGAAATTGTTGAAATGGTTTAAATATTAAATATCCCAATTAAAAAAATTGGTTGTTAGCTACTAAAAATAGGTTGTTAGCATTGTTAGCTACTTGTTAACATGGCCTCCCAGTGTTGTGAATATTGGAATTTATGGAAGAGTCAAGCCACGACAGGCGACAGACAGGTGTCCGCGTCCCGTCTCGCTCATGTTTTATGAGTCTTCACGCCTCTGCACTGATTTCTTATCACACATGCCAGCAGGCGCATGATGGACTGTCACGTGAAGCGCAGTGCCTCTCGGGCTGTTCTTTATAACGCCGTTGATTGTGATCACGGGGGGCCGTGTTTTCCCTCAGACTAGCAGAACTGCTTTGTCTGAAGTGTGGCACAAAAGGGCCAATTAAAAAGTCAATTAATAAAGTAGCTGGGGGGAAAACACACACACACACACACACACTGGAAGAGGGCACAGAGCCAGTGTTGGCATTGTGAAGTTTCCATTCGAGCTTTTGAGCCGACAGGAGCTGCCGCCCGCTGAGCCATGACGGTGTCATTGGTCTTAATAAGGGAGCCCTGTGCGTTCCCTACGTCACATCAGGTGGCCTAATTGGTTTGCTTAACCTTCAGAGCACAATGAACAAGCTCTAATGCTCTAATCTTCTGATACCCAGAAGTCTAATAAAGCTCAGATGAACCACAGGACATCAGCTGCCTCACTAGTATGTGTCTAACATTTTTATAACACACTTTTGGCACACCAATCAAATAAGTCAGGAAAGAGACGTTGGGGTGGGAGGGGAAAAAAAAAAATTCTCTCTTCAACGATTCTGAATATGCGGTAAACACTAAGCTCAGAATTGATTGAGAACTTTCATGCACTAGAGACAGCCATATTATAGTTGCTGCCAATTACACACACAAAACCCTTGAACAAGAATCTAATATTACATTAAGTTTGGAAATGTTGAAGCAAATTACAAGGACAACCACAGACTTAATTTGCTCAATGTTACAGTGCCTACAATGTGCGATTTCACCAGTATATCAAAGCTTTCTCTTCTAAATGCTCTACAAAGACATCATTAATGCTGCCTGGATTGCAATTAGATAGTATATTAGATACGTGACACTCACAGACAGAAGGTTGCTTTCAAATGCTTGTTTGCGCTTTGTGTGTTCACTCTGAAGTGCACTTGTGGCATAAGGCTGCACGCATATTTATGAATTGGTTAAATGAATGAAATTAATCTGAAAGTCATTTCTATCTTAAGGGATTCAACAGACAGGACATCCGAAATGTCAAAACACATCTGTGAAATAGTGTGATCTCTTGTATAGACGACATTCACGTGTGACGTCATCAGTAACAATCAGACAGCAAAGATGGTCAGCAAGAGAGAAAAACCCCTCGATGCACTGCACTGAGCTCTCAG